TTATGTGGAGGTACATGCACCGCAATGACGATTTGTTTAGTGTATTTTTAAAAGATGTAAAGAAAGTTTATGATATTACTACAGAAAAGCTTTAACTTTTAAAAGCGTGTTAAGAATGTATGATGAAGCGAAGAAATATGTATAATTAATTCTCCATCGCTTTCTCAAAGAACGTAGAATGCTTCTTGTTATTATTGATATAAATGTATGATTAAGCTACAAAATATGTATGATTAATTCTCCATCGCTTTTTCAAAGAACGTGGAATGGTTCTTGTTATTATTGAAAGTGAAGGCAAAGCTCTATTAGGCGGTCACCCTCGGGAGTGAGCCAAATGAAAGGTTAATAGAGGTTTACCGGCCAAGTTAAGAAATGAAGAATTTGTTGTGTTTTATGATGTTTTGAAAGCAATTGTAATTGTTGAGGGAATGAGTGTTTCAAAATATCCGGAAATAAATGCAGATACTAAGCACGATGTTTAATATAATGCAGATATTAGGTAAAGTATGTAAAGTATGTCGACTGCGGTACTGCGGTAGCAGGATTTGATGAATGATTTTTCAGTGGCCGGGTATTCTGAAGTTTAGCCCAGTTCGTTGTGTAAAGTCCAGTTATCCAAGTCGAAAATGTACAGCAGCTGTCGCTCAGTTTCATTAAACTTGTGGAGTGGAGAGGAAATGTAGGTAAGGTTGTTGTCTGCCAATGTAAGGGGGCATGCATTTGTAAGATGGTTTTTCTGGATGTTCAGGATTTAATAAATAATCGTCTATACTGGAAAAAAATATGAAAAAATGGTACAGTTTTATCGCTGTTTAAGCTAGTTCTGTAGTTTGGCATTTGCAATGGTTGTTTATGTACAAATTAGATTAGCAATCGCTGCTTGATCACGAAAGTGAAAGTTGCCTGTCTCATCATGTTCTGTTTATTTCTAGCGAACTGCGCGTATGAATTTTTTGTTTTCCCACTATCTTATGGTTGACTGATTGTCTGTTTGTGTTATTTTATGTAATTGAGACTGTTCCTTTAAAAATGATGAACTTCGTATTCATCGCTAACTGTACAGCTGTTTGAGTGTAATGGTGTAATGTTATCGACATCAGTTTACAAATTGAGGCTTAACTTACCGCATTGAAAAGCATCTCGGCCTGGAGAAATAGTCTTTATTTAAGTGAGCTGATATTTTAAAGCCAAGATACCCGATGAAATGTTAGTTAAACCTGATTTAAACGTGGCACACTGTAGACGATAATTCTGGAATATCATTTGTTGATGTGAATAGCCTGGTAGAAGTATTAACTCTTAAACTCTGAGCTGAGCAAATAGGCTTCACTGCAAACTGCTTTTCTTCATCCAATCATTCATAAAATTTCTTCTGTTCAGTTCACTCTATACATTAAATGCGAAGGAGTATTAATTTTTAATTGAATCACCCCTCCCATTCTCTATACCCTGTATGCTATACATTTTATTTTAATTTACTACTTTTATTACTTAAATTTTACTTTTAGACTCGTAAGTTTGTGAAAGTGTAGTAAAGAACAGTGTTATTTTCAATGCCTACAAGCTTCTTGTTACTAATCTGAGCTATTTTGAAATGCTCTCATGGTTCTGTATTTCTTTCATGGTTGACTGAGCCTAGAATTCAATTTTATTTGCGCAATTAGACAATTGTGATTCAGTTACCATTTGAAGCAATAATTTGGTTGCTTGTAAGTCTCAGTGATTCAAAAAATGTTCTCTTTAATTTCGATGCAAAAAAAAACTTCGAAGACCTTGACACTTGGCTGAAAACTGGTGTCAATGTACAGTTGTACCTTGATTATCTGGACCTTGATTATCTGGATCTCAATTATCTGGAATCCTCAATTATCTGCACTTTTCCTCTGGTCCCAATTTTCCATGCATATTTATTAGTCACGACCAAGATCTGTAGCGGTATTCTTTTTAAAATTACAGTATTGAGAAGTGAAGTAACTGACCTACTTCAACATTTTAGGCCAATATAAAAACATTTTTCATTAATTTTGATTGTTAATACACATGTGGAGAGGTATTCATGTAGGACAGTGAAGATGCAGACCATATCTTTTTCAAAATGATTTGCAAATGTTTTTTTTCAGGATTAAATGTCACTTTCTTATTTTAATTAGTTTTTGTTCCTTATTAGTATTCATATTGTTGATTATCTGCACTTTTTTGTTTAGTCCCATCAAGTCAGGATAATCGGGGTTTGACTGTATGTATTTAATTAACTATTACGTGTATTTGTTTGTAACTTTTTTTATCATGTACGGTAATATTTTCAATTGGCACTACAGCTTTTGTTCCTCTGAATATTTCTAGTTTGTGACAACTGATTCAGAGGTGAAGCCTGTTTACTTGCACATCCATGTGTTTAGGTTAAATAGCTGACATCATCTATTTAAGTTTGTCCTCCAATAATATCAAATATCACTCTATTCTTTTTTCTTTATTCTTTATTATTGTTTGTGTCATACAAGTGAATTCCTAAGATTGGCCAAAGCCAGAGGCTTAAATGGCTTATGGTCAGAGACAAAGACTAATTTTTCAAAGAACAATAGACTAATCTAAGGTATTCTAATCTAATCTAATCTAATCAAATCTAGTTTATAATAAACAATAATCGGGGTATATTTAGAAGTTCAGTATAATGTTCACAAATTTACAAAGAGCAGTAGATTAATCTAAGTAGTAAACAATAGTCCG